AATTAGCAAACCGTTCTAACCATGCCTCTTTTCAACACCATTTCAGGCCCTTTTTATTTTTCGAACACAGAATACCTGTGCTGGAGGGTAATGTAACTCATTGTCCTAGAAAACCAGATTTCTTCCAAAAATTATTTCTCCATTTTAAAATCGTTTTTAGCCCTGGTGTTTTTCTCAAAATATTTTCCTAACTCGATGAACTAGCGCCAGTTAAAATATTATAATGGTTGAACATTGTTTGGTATGGGTTTCATATTTTTTTTGTCTGACCATACAGTGCTGAAAGAAGAAGTGTGTGAATTCTTAAGAAATTTTGTGATGGGTTCTAAGACATTCTATCACATTTATTTTGGTTGCCATATATGATTGTGTTGTGCTATATAAACATTAGGTCACTGCGGTTCTCAAACTAAAACTCGCACATGCATGAAAATGTGAATTCGACGAAGTAAAGAAACACGAAATTGAACCGATGATACATTAAAAATTTAAAAGTGATGGGGTGAGCCCGATTTAGAAGCTTGCACCAGTGAGTTGCGAACCCTAACATAGCACGAGAAGGTATTTCAGCTCTTATCTGTGTAGGCGATATAAGGTTGGTGGTGCGGGTGTCACAACATAGACCGTCCCCTTGGGGCAGACCGTGATGTCACGACTCGGGTACGTAACCCTGGTGCATGGGCATCATTGTGTAGGCGATATAAGGTTGGTGGTGCGGGTGTCACAACATAGACCGTTCCCTTGGGGCAGACCGTGATGTCACGACTCGGGTACGTAACCCTGGTGCGTGGGCATCATTGGTAGTTACAGTGAGTAACATTTGAATGTTTGACCAAGGAGGAGTCAGAATTGCCCATGGCCATTGCTTAGCAGTTGAGTGGAAATAGTGTTCCGCGGAGAGTTACTTAAATTTATCTGATAAACTAAATCCATGAGAATTTAAAAAGAAAAGTGTGCATTTTCCTTATGATGAATTACGATTTTCGTTTGCCATTTTTTTTATTAATTTATTTATCTATTGTTATTATTTTAACTGTTGGCATTCTTGTTATGCTTATTAAATGCTACCTGTTATTCTGTTACTACGCATTATTCATTAATTGTGAGTATTATTATCGGGGTAGGTATTTTCAGGTTATAGTATATTATTAAGCTCGTCGCTCATTGGCATTCTCGTTGCCCTGGCGTTTTATGCCAGGTACCGAAGAAAATGAAGGAAACACCAAGGCCTTGCAATGCGACATTCAGTCTTGGTCAGCTTGAAGAGTCCCCAAATTTCACAAACTATTTTCTAAAATTTCGTAGTTTTTCTCTAGTTTTCTTTTATATATTTTTGTGATATTTTTTATTTTATTTTTTTGTACTGAGAATAAGTTTTAAGTATTTTTAGAATTGGAATTTGAAGACTTTCAAATTTCTAGGCTGTTAATTAACGTGTGTTGGTGATTTTGGTGGCAATATTGATTTTAAATTCTAAATTTTATTATAATATTCTTAAAATTTGGGGCGTCACAGACCCTAGGCCAAGACCTAGGCCATCATTTTGAAACCCGGTCCAACCCGGTAGGCCCACTCAAGGCCCGGCCAGCGCTGAGGTCCAATGTTTTTTTAATGGAAAATAATATAATTTTGGTAGAAAAAATAAAAAAAATAAAAAAAATTTGTTCAGTCCCGCTCAAGCCCGAGCCTAGGCCAAGGCCCGAATACCCATGGGCTTGGGCCTAATTTTTTGGTCCATAGGCTGGTTTGAATTTTGATAGGAGCCTGTGAGGCCCGACATGAGCTGAGCCGGATCAGGCCAATTTTACATCCCTTTATGCCCTTGATCATTGATATTAAAAAAAAATAAGATTTTAATATACATTTTTTAATATATTTCTTTTGTTTATAATATATATTTTTTTATATTTTGCTTGTTCATTTATTAGTAAAAATGACAAGGAGCTGAAAATGGAATATATGATATGACTCTCTCACTTTATTTTTTACGGTTGTATGTAGTTTACATGTGTAGAAAGTTGAGATTAGATTGAAAATCTATGGGCCTGTTTGGTAATATTTACGTTTTCAGTTTATATTTATAAAAATTTTATAAATTGGTTTTTTTTTTAATTTTTAGAAAAACATAAACTACAAAACGCGTTTGGTTTAGACAAAATGTTTAAAAAAATTTAAAAATATAAAAAAGAGTGAGAAATGGCAAGTGGTGGCGGGTGGTGGTGTAAGAGTGGCTTGCGGGAAGACAAGAGTCTGGAAAAATGCATGGCGGGTTTGGGAGGTTAAAGGGCGGCGGAAGACTGTTTAGGGAAAATGTGATGGCGGGTGGGTGGTGCGGAAGACTGGTTGGGGAAAAAATCGGGTGGCAGTGATGCCGGTTGGTATCCGGTGGCAGAAGCACACTGGTGGAAAAGTGCGGGAGTGGTGGCGCGGTGCGTCGGCAGGGGAAGACGTGGTGGGGAAAGGTGGATTCTGGGCAAGTGGACGGGTGTGGCGCGGCGGAAAGACGGTGGTGGAAAGCGTTGGGACTGGTGGGTGGCAGGTGGGTTGATGGAGCGACGCGGTGTACGAGGCGGGCGTTGGTGACGCGGGTCGGGGCAGTGGCTTGGTAGGGTGTGGGGTGACGTGCGACGGTGGCTGGACGAGCTCAGTGGCGGGTGGTGGTGTGGGGTGGCGGCGGTGGTAAGGGTGGATGGCCGGGTGGTGGTTTGGTGGTGGCTTGGCTGCCCAATTTGTGGCGGGTGTGGTGTTGCCAACGGTGCGTATGGTGGTGGTCGGTGGTGGTGGTGGTGGCAGCGGTGGTTGGCAGGTGTGGTGTGGTGCGTGGTAGTGGTGTCGTGGTGGTGGTGGCGAAGTGGGTGGTTGAGGGTGGGGGTGTGTGGGTGGCGGTGGAGGTGATTGGTAGAGTTGGTGACAGCTGGTGTTGGTGACGGTCTGGAGAGGTCGGTGAAGGTTGGGTCGGGCTGGACGGGTGGGGTTGACAGTGGTTGGTGGTAGTGGAGGTGTGCGTGGCAGGGTTGGTAGATTTGGGTGGTGGGTGGTGGAGTGGTGGTGGTGAGGGGTGGTTCGGTGAATTGGTAGTGGCTTGCGTGGCTCTGGGGTGGTGGCCACGATGCGGGTGTGAGTAATGGGGTGCAACAGTTGTGGGTTGGTGAAGGTGGTGGGTGTTGGGTCGGTGGTTGCGGAAAGACGGTGGTGGCGGGTGGTGGCTAGTGTTGGGTGGTAAAAAAAAAAAAAACTCAAAAAGAAAATATATTTTTTGGCCAAATTTATAAACTGAGACCACTAATTTATAAATAAAAAATATACCAAACAAGTTAGTTTTTAAAATTTTTGTAAATATAAAATTAAAACTGAAAACGTAAGTGTTACCAAACGGCACCTATATGACTTGTAAAAATTATATTTGTTTTTTAAAATGAATAAGACTACAAATTCCTCTAAACAGTGTATTTAGCATAGGTGGTGAAAGAATTTTTTATCCCCATTATTTTATTTTAATGAAAAAATAATATTACATCTCAAACTTAATATTATAACATTAATAATTTAATTTAAAAATAACAAATGTGACGGTTTTTTTATTTTTATATCACTTATTTAGATAGCCAAAACATATTACTTATGAACCAGTAATACAAAAAAAGACTCAAACAATTATATAAAGCAGTTATTTTCTTTTTCTTGTTTTGATTGAGGATAGCATAGCAGTTATTTTCTTACTAACCCTACTCAACTTATAGCGGTTACCAAACATCCCCTAACAAAAAGCAAATTGTCGATTTTATCCAGAGATACCAATACACGTATACAGCCCTTTTAGATCTAATTAGGGGTGTTTGCCGTTCTGTTTCAGCTGTTCTATTCGTCATTTGAATTGAGGGATTAAAAAAAATTAATTTGTATCCGTTTACTAAAATGACCGATTTAAATTGAGCAGATTAACGAATTGATGGATAAATATGAATTGATTTAATGATTTAAATTTTTATAAATTTTGAACATAATACAATAATTTATCAATATTTTTTTTTAGATAACAATTCAACTCGACATAATCAAAATTATAGACTGAAAGGTCCCATTACAATGTTTCAAACATCAGATTAATGTTTCGAACATTAGATTTCAAACATCAGATTAATGTTTCAAACATTAGATTGATGTGCAAATGGGACTACATGGAGTATAAGAAAACTTTTAAGACTAAATAGTTTAACTTTTCAGAAACTAGGACTTATGGGTAAATTATCCTTAACGAATGGATAAATATGAATTGATTTAATGATTTAAATTTTTATAAATTTTGAACATAATACAATAATTTATCAATATTTTTTTTAGAAAACAATTCAACTCGACATAATCAAAAGATTATCAAGTAAATTGTCAAATATTAATAATAAATGCATGTAAGAAAACTATGCATTATCAAAATTATTTCATTACTTTTTTTTATTTAAAACTATTTAATTTGAATTTTAAAAAAATGACAAAATTAAACATTATATTTTTTCAATAAAAATACCAAATATCAACACTAGACATTTGATAAAAGGATTTATAAATTGAAAATATAATAGAATATATAAACTTTTTTCAATTGAAAACACAAACAGAATATCTAAACAAATTAACAACCTAAAGCCTTGCAAATTATTAGGGATATTCACAGTTTGGTGATTCAGTTGCGGTCAAAAAAATCTCAAATTCACAATCCGTTCAAAACTAAAAAAATTAAAAAAAAATCAATCTATAATTATTTACTCATCATCACACATATGTCCAAAATAGAACAGATCAATTTGATTCGATTAGTTTATACGGATAAAAATATCCACTCAACACCCTAGATTCAATTACAAAAACTCCAAAGTGCAAAATAGTCATTTCAGTATCACTTATCCTTGTTGTCGATACGAATCACTCTTTAATTTCTCAGCACCAACAGCAACGATCAGTCGCCTCGACCCCCCCCCCCCCCTTTTCTCTCTCTCTCTCTTCCTCTCTCTCTCTCTCTCGTCATCTCCCTCTCTCTATCTAAAACTCTAGAGAGATTCCACCACATTTTCTTCTATATCGACGACCGCCCCCTTCTCTCTCTCTCCACTTTCTCTCTCTATTTCTATCGATTTATCTCTATACCATCTGTCAATCGTTTCCGATTAAGCCGCAATCCACCGATCCGATCGGAACCGTCGGTTTTCCGGTGACCTAATCGGCCGGACTTGACAAATTCCAGTGACTATTCGACCGGTGATATATCGTCGCAATGGAATCTATTTGATGATTATTGTTTTGTTCATCGAGGGTTGAGAACTAGGGTTTTGGATTTCGAGTTTTTTTTTTTTTGGGGTTCGTGGTGTTTGTACTATTTTACAGTTATGCCACGGAGTTCGCGGCACAAATCGCACAAACAGAGCAAGCACAGTTCGAGAGAGGCTAGAGAGCACTCGGACTCGGAGGAGGATGTGAAGATGAAGGATAGGAGCGGTAAGGAAGAGGAGTCAGTTAGGGTTTATAGGGATTCGGGGTTGAGCGAGAAGCGCAAACTCTCTTTGGGCAAAGATCTGTCTGGTCACGGTAATGGCGATACGGTTGAAGAGTATGGCTCTTCGAAGCGGCGTAAGGAGAAGGCCGATGCTAGTGCCGGCTCCGATAGATGGAATGGCGGTGGGGATGAGAGAGGCGATGGCAGAATTGTCGAAAAGGAGACGAAAGGGGAAAGTTCGAGGATTGATGGGGAGAAAAGCTCAAAGTCGACGACTTTGATTGATTTGAAGAGTAAAAGCAGTAAAAGGCACGATGGTGGTAGTGAGAAGAAGGAGGAGAAGGGGGGTTTAGTGTCAGAGAAGGAGGAGAGTAAGAGTAGTAGCAGAGTTGACTCGAAGCGAAAGTCTGAAAAAGATTCTGGTAGAAAAGAGGTTAAAGATTCAAAGGAGTCAAAGGAGAAGGAACGTGGGTTGGAGAGGGAGAAGAAGATTCAGGAGATTAAACGTGAAACAGAAGCAGTGGCAGTCGGTGATGAAGCGTCTAGGAAACAAGGATCGCATTTGGTGGATTTTGGTGAAGAGAGACAGGGCAAACGGGGTAGAGAAAATACTGGTAAGGTAACTAATTGTTGTGTGTCTATGAGAAGTAATGTTGTTTGTTACCATGCCAATACTACATTGTTGGTTTACTATAGTTGTAGTTAGTAATGGTGTTGATTGATATGTGTGTAGACGTGTTGTTTAATGTCCTCTATCAAAAGATTCCTATAAGCATACATATTTTTGCTCTGCATATCATTTGAATTGGAAAAGGTAGAAATTATGGGTTTTTCTTTCCTTAACAAGTGAACGGGGAAGCCTTTTGGTCATCTACATTAGCGGAATAGGTTTTAAAGTATCTGCATTAGGGAAGCTTTCAGTTTTAACTTGTTTTACTGCATAACAGTGCAGTCACTGCATAACTTGTTTTAAGTTGTGTGTGTTCTTTGTAGACAGCAGCCTTTATTTTTACATTCAGTTATTTGTCACTATTTTTCTCACTATCTTACATGTTTCACAATTTTGCCAAGTGTCATTTAATTGAAGAACAAACAAATTAAATAAAAAAATAGAAATAACTGAAAAGAGAAAAAATTGAGTGCTTAAAACTGTTGGTATTGATAATATGGTTTTTTTTTTTATGAGAGCACCACTCCCAGCCCCAGCCCCCAACCCAAAATTCATTCTTACTCCTACAAGAACCAGTTTTGTCTCATTTTGTTTCTTTATTTTGTCTTATTTTTTCCTGTAATCTATCTTGATGATGCATGAATTATATACGTTGTGGTTTTTACAAGTCATCCACCTTAGGATTCCTTGTTTTCATTTTCATAAAGGATTATCCTAATTGTCTCATAAGTTACGTACTCGAATGGGTTTGGGTTTTATTTATGTTGGGTTGGTTATATGATGCTAAGCTTATGAGGTAGCGTAGAACCTCTACCAAGTTGCAAGTCTTCATGCTTTTTTAGTAGGTGCTTTTTTTACACAGTTCTATCCCCTTTTTGTTCTTAATTTTTTTCATTGTTAGGAACACCTTTTACTCTGTGGTAAACATGTAAGAGCTACTAAATATGCTAAATTCACTTCCTTCACTGTTTTGGTCACAATTGCGTTTGCAATGAATGTTCCTGCTCTGGACTACCACATCCTTCCAACTTATTGTGCTTCTGATGTGTCACAATATAACTCTTGCAAAATCTTTAGCCCCAAGAAGTTTGATATTTTTAGGTGTTTAAAAGTAGAGGAATTCTCACTTTATCTTTTCTTTCACTGGATTTCAGTTACACTTTCATTGATTAGTCAATCTTATTTTGCTTATTATTTCAGAGTGGCCTATACAAGATGAGTTACGAAATCCTGAATTAGAGAAGGAACTTGAGAAACGGATAAGGAGGAGAAGAGATGGCTCTAATGATAAGGATAAATATGAAGATGATGTAAAAGAAAGTGAAGATAGACGACTATCTTTGAGGGGTGAGCGTGCCAAAGATAGCAGGTACAAGGATGAGAAGCGTAAGGATGGAAGTTCTGGAGATAAGCACTGTGAAGATGGCGATAGAGACAATAGAAACAGGGAAGATAAGTATCGAGAAGATGCTGAAAGAGATAGCAGACACAGGGATGTTAAGCATCGGGAAGATGGTGACGGCGATAATAGACACAGGGACGAGAAATACCATGAAGATGGTGAGAGAGATAATAGGCACAGGGAAGATAAGTATCGTGAAGATGGCGACAGAGATAATAGACAAAGGGACAATAAGTACCGTGAAGATGGTGACAGAGATAATAGGCATAGGGGTGATAAATATCGTGAAGATGGGGATAGAGATGATAGACACAGGGATGATAAGTATCGTGAAGATGGGGACAGAGATGATAGGCACAGGGATGATTGGTATGCTGAAGATGGAAACAGGGATAGTAGAAACAGGGAAGAGAAGAATGGTGAAGATATTGGCAGAGATGGTAGACGCAGGGACGGGAAGCAAAGAGAAGATAGTGACAAAGATAAGAGATTCCGGGATGCCAAGTACCGGGATGAACGCTCCTCAAGAGATCGCACTAGTGGTAAGTCTGATATCAAGCGTTCAAGGGATGAAAGTAATGCTGCGGAGCTTCATTACAGGAAATCAAATAATCGTGATGGTAGTCCAATTTATGATGATAGAGGTACCAGATACAAAGATGATAAAGGAAGGAGAAGAACCAGTGACAAAGAGGACCATGGTGATATTAGATCTCGGAGTACGAAAGAGCAACATTCTGATGCAGGAAAGAAATCTATCAGCAGTGCTAGAGTAGAGTCAGTTAGTGATAGAGGAAGGTCTAACGCACGTAATGCTGATGTGGATATTACTCCAAACCACAGCAGACGGCGGAATTCCCCTAGCTCTAGTTCTCATGCTGCAAAAGATCATTACAGGTAATTTGTTTGGCATTTTTTTTAATGCAGTACAGAAGTTGATTTTCAGTTACGTTTTGTAAGATGCCGTTTAATTCCTGGGTATAAATGATACCGAACCCTATTACTCTTATTTTCAATATATATTTTTAAAAATTCAATTGGTCCTGATAAACATACTGAGATTGTTTATTATGATCAATGGTTTGGGCACAGGTGCAGTGTCTGCTCTACTGCTAGAACCAAACACTGTTAGTATTATACGTGGGCATTGGCATCTTGTCTATGTCCTTTCATTGGGTTGGGTAATGAATGTACCACCAGTTTGAATGGGAATGGGAACAATAACCAAACTCAATATGGTACTCTGCGGTGGGTACTTTGTATCAGTGTCAAATGCTTGTTTGCCACTGTCATTACCAAGATCTGCCGGTATGGAAATGGAGATGGAAACTGATACCAGGAAACAATATGAGATGGTTAAGTACTCTTATGAGAGGAGTTTATTGTAGTAACAACTATCTCTTTTCATATTATCAGTTTTTTTCTTTTTTTGGGATGTCCCACAGTGGTTTTTCATTTCAAAAGTCAAGGTATATAATCTTATGATCTTCCAATATTATCCTTTTTGGATGAATGTGAATGCGTATAATAGTGTGAGTTGAAGGGTTGCTTTGTAGATTAAAATATTGTTACTTGAATGTGAATGCATATGCATATGCTTGTCTTCTTCAAAAGTTGGCTGCTCAAAGATGGAAAAAGAATTTAGGCTTAGGGAGTAGATAATATTTAGAAATAATTAGGGACCTTACTCATAAATTGGCTTCTCTAATAATTTCTAACATTGGGAATCTGTTTTGAATACTTGGCACATAACAAAATACTGCATTTTCAGAAAATTTGAATGTCATCCGAGTATTTGGTGATATCCGAATGAGTTATCATGATTTTTTCAAATCAAAGTTCTCTCACTGCTTCATTTGGTTAGGATGACAGTTTTGTTGGAAAGTAAAAATAATGTGTTCCCCTCTCAAAGTTAACTTTTCCTGTAAAATCTGCGACAGAGGTTTAATGACAATATTTGGCAAGGCATTACAATCTTGCTTGAATGGAGTGTAAAGTGTGATTCATCGTCTGGCGCTCTCACTTGACTAGATGTGGTCTGACACTGTTTGAAGTCAGAAACTGTTGAAACGGGCATTTCGATAGCTGTGTTCCACTATTATCACTTGTGATTGTAGTTAGTATGCTTTGCTAGTTGGTACTACTAAGTGGTGCACATGGTAGACCACCCTCCCTATATCAATGAGTGACCTTATTGGGACTTGGATTGGCCATCCTCTGCTTTTTAGATGGGAGCTTTTTCTTAGTGGAGGGATCTATTTTCAGTGAGATTTTAATTGACAGTCATCAAACATGATTAAACTGTTAGGCGGGGTGTGTGTGTGTGTGTGTGTGTGTTAACTGTGATAATATCCTAGAAAGATGTTTGGGGGTAGTGGATTTAACTTCAAGAGTCTAGTGTTGTTCAGGAGTGGAGGTCAATACAATGTGAATGACCAGAAAAGGTAATGATTAGGATTGAACTTATGTGATGGAAGGGATGACCGGGATAGTGAGCACAAAGGGATATGCACTTGCACATAAATCATGTACCTGATTTGGAATTACCATTGATATATATATGTATATCTTTTTTGGAATTTGTCCGGGTTGTGATTAAGCACACTCTAGGGTTAGATCTATGCTACTGATTCTATTTAAATTTGTCCAGTGAGAACATTATTATATTTGATTTATTGTATTATGCACTGCATTAGCTACTAAATTGTACACGCCAATTATTTTAATTTTCAAATTCTTGTCCCCTTTCAGGCTTTCAAAGCAAGAAGAATCAAAATATAGAGACTATGCACATGAAGAGAGAGTTCGACATAATGTAACCTCTAGCAAAGAATTTTCTGGTGTTGCTGGAGGAACTGAGAAGGCTTCACTGTCTCGGTCAATTGAGAAATCTCTTCAAAAGGATGACAGTCATTTGGGTGAGTTATCAGCTGACAGGCGTCCAAAGGCCGATGCCCGCACTTCACCCTTGCATGTGGTGGATAGATCTCCATCTTCAACAAGTACTGACCGCAGACACTGGAATAGATCCAATATTAGGCGTAATCTTGATGTGGAGGACTCGGGGCAAAAGAGTGGTGGTTCGAAGGATGCAAAGGATTATTCTGCTAGGGAAGGCAGAGGAAGTCGTGACGTGCTTATGGAGACACTTCCAGGAGATGAGCTTTCTCAGGCAGATGGAGACAACTTTTCTGTTTCCTCACCTTTTAGTAGAACTAATCACTTGTCTAGCAATTCCAGGTCTCTTTTACCTCCTCCTCCCCCCTTCAGGATGGGGGCTGACAGCCCTGTAGCTTTTGGCTCTTTGGAAGATGACAATAGAGGCAAGTCAAACAACCGGCATAGGAGGATTGGTGATCCCAACATGGGAAGAGTGCAAGGAAGTCCTTGGAGAGGCATCCCGAACTGGCCTTCCCCCATGGCAAATGGCTTCATGCCTTTCCAACATGGTCCACCGCCAGTAGGTTTTCATCCAGTGATGCAACAGTTCCGCGCTCCTCCAATGTTCGGTGTTAGATCATCAATGGAATTAAACCAATCTGGGGTTCCTTATCATGTCCCTGATGGTGACAGATTTTCTGGCCATGGGCGTTCACTTGGTTGGCGAAATCCAGTGGATGACTCTTGCCCTCCTATCCATGGATGGGATGGAAGCAGTGGTATTTTTGGGGATGAATCCCACATGTATGGGAGACTAGATTGGAACCATAATAGAAGCCTTACGGGTGGTCGAGTGTGGGAGACAAGTGGTGATGCGTGGAAGGGGCAAAATAGTGGTGCAAGCACAGAGTTGCCATCTGCACCCCAGAAAGAGGATTATTCAGCTCGAGGACCAGCAGATGACGTTTGGGCTGGTCAGTCAGGTCTGCAAGCTCAGAATGATAAAAAACAACCCAGTGTTCTGGTTGAAAGCGTTGACATCGATCAGTCGAGTGATGCTCGTGAAAGGGATACTGTTGAAACTTCCAAAACCATTCTTGAGGAGATGCCCAACCTTTCAAGAAAGGATGATTCTTGTCTTTCACAAGTTTATCTTTCCATGCTTGACATTTCAGCAGATCTTACTCATCCTGAGTTGTATAGCCAGTACACAAGTTTAATGGGTATGGATCAGAACTCAAATTCTGAAGAAGATGATTCCAACATTTTATTTCTGGAGGTATAAATTTAACATTTTCAACCAGTAGTTTATCTCGTTTCTCTTAATTGTTAGCTGTTTAGTTATAATGGAGTTTTTTTTTTTTTTTTTTCATTTGATAGGAGGCCATGGATGCCACAGTGAAGCTCCCTGAGAAAACATCGAGTGTTTCACTTTTTCCTACCATAAATGATGCTGTTTTTCAGGTGTGTGCATGCTGAGAAATGTATAAAGTATCTTTTAAATGCTTGTTAACTAGAATTCCAATATAGAATGATGTTGAAAATTCAATTATTGATGGTGTTTTGTTTCAAAATGGAAGGAAGAACCATGTCATTCTCTTGACTTTGTGGTTAGATAATTCCATTTTTAGGGCAGTTTTGCTGGCTTTACTTGAACCATATACATTTACAGTATTTACTATTTTTTCAATTTTAAGTTGGTGATCTTAAATTTCAGCACATGTAATGGATATAGGATGTTTCCAATGGTTGAATATATATGACTAAATTATCTTTCTGATTTTGTGATTAACTTGCAGAAAGCCATGTCCCTGTACAAGAAGCTGAGAGAAGATGTCAAAGCCATAAATGTCGATAAAGTACCCTTTTCCAATGTGAAGAACCTTGAGTCTGCTCCAACATTGGATCAAGAGGTAGCGGGTTTAGATGACGATAAACAAGGGGAGGTGGTACCGGCTTGTGATCAACAAGAAGCAGAAGCTGCAGTTTCAGTTCTAAAGGATGTCAAAATGGAAGAAGCGTCTCCTGCAACCACCTGTGAGAAGATAGATGAGCCAGTTCTAGTTGACAGTCTTGAGAAATCAGAATCATCAATTGCAGCTTTAAACGAGGAGAATCTGGAATTGGATTTGGTTTCAAAGCAAGAGACACTGGATTCTATTGTTGAAGACAAATCTTCAGATCCAGAAAATGTAGAACTGTCTGAAGCCAATTCACCTAGTAAGGTTAAAGAGGTGAGCAGGGCTATCGGCTCCAATAATGATGGACCGAAATTGCATGATACTAAGTGTGGTCCCTCGCTTTTTTCTGATGTGTCCTCTGAGGCATGTGAGGCAGTGATGCCCGAGTCAATTGAGTCTACGATGGTAAATTTAAGTCGGATACATCAATCTCCTGAAAGTACACATTGAGACAATTTTTATTTTCTGAGTTTTTGAAATGCCTTTCCTTCTTTTGAAATAATGTGTTCTATCATATCCTGTGCTTGCTGCTTTATCTCTTAGTTCATCAATAAAGTTTTATATCTTCAACTCCTTTATTTTGATTTCTTTTTCAAGATGGGAAAATATGGACCTAAAAAACCATGGTCCTTTTGCTTATATTAGAAGCCTTTTAGGAAGTAATATATATACCCAAAGTTGTCTGCTACCCATCTTCCTTGGAGTATCTTGGGTACTTCTGTTTCTAAATTCTTTCTTAGCTATTAATGTTTAAACTGATGTGTTTCTTGAAGTTGTGTATCTGTTTGCAGTGTTGATGGGAATTATTGTTGGGCATATTATGGAGGAATTGAAAGATGTCCTATACCCTGGTATGAGGTTTCTGCAACAGTTTGGTATTTCTTTTAATAGATTCAGATTGTGTGTGGGTATGTTTGGTATTATGGAGTCATTTGTTGCGCCTGTGTTTTCTGTTTTTGTTTTTGATACTGAGAATGAAAATTTGTTTGGTATTTTCCTCCTGTTTTTAAAAAATGGATTGATTCCAAAGATTTTCAATTTTTTTTGAAAATGAAATGCTTGTGTTTTCAAAACAAAATTTCACCACCCAATTCTAGTTGCCAGTGAGCTTGGAGAGCTCCTGTCACATTGCAGCAACTCTTCGGCGATTGGCCCACCGCTGTGAGCTCTGGTGACACTTCGACCACTAACTCTGATAATAATCTCCTCTGACCACCCCCCACCATCGGTCTTCACATCCATCACCCCTTCATTGTCGGCAACCACCTCCAAACTCTCCAAACATGTTTATTTATTTTTTTTTGTTTTCTAAACATTTTTGTTTACCAAGTAAGTCTCCTGTTTTTGTTTTTGTGGGTAACAAAAAAGAACTTTGTTTCCAGACTACTTTAGCAAACGACCCATTATGTTTATTGATTTCTGTTGATGTTTCATAAATTGGTAAATTGTGAATAAAAACCTGTTTCACACGGTTTTTTTTTTTTTTTTTTTCCCCCGGTTTTTTTTTTTTTTTTTTTTTTTTTTTAAAAATAATAAAAAATAATAATCTGGAAATGCTAATGACTGCCCAAAGTGTGAAGAGTGGCCAGTAGTCGGTGTTTTGAATAATTTAAAAAAATCAATAAAGTTGTGAAAATCTTGTTGAATTATATAAAAATTATATTAAAATTTTAATTATTTGAGCATTTTCCCCTTAGTGCAACCCACAAGGGTTGTATGCTTCAAATTTTACTGAATGTTTGCGAATAAAAAATTATGCTTCTTTTGTTGCTCCTCCCACCATCTCTGACCTCTCTCTCCCTCCAGCCACCACCCTCCTCCAGCCACAACGCTTGGCAAACTCTCAGCTTCCTACAACCACTTAAATCATCTTACCTAACAAATTATGTGTACCAGACATTTTTTATGATTTGTTTTAAAATAATGGCAAAAATTTAAAAATTCGAATTAAATTTGGTTGGATTTAGATAAAGACATTAAACAATCCCAGCAATTTGAAACCCAAATTATATACATAGATATATAAAAATATTAAATATACATATTAATTATTAGCTATTACATCATCATATTATTATAATTTAGATCATTAAATTTTGGGTGGGTTTAGAAGAGACATTAAACAATCCGAACAATTTGAAATCCGAATTATATATATAGATATATAAAAATATTAAATACACATTAATTATTAGCTATTACATCATGAAATTAAAATAATTTAAGTTATTAAATCATATTGAATATATATTATATACACAAGTAACACAAAATCTAGTATTTTTTATTTTCACTCATAAATTGTATAGACTGTCATAACGACATCTCCTTTGCATTATATAAGTAATTTATTTTGATGTTATTAATTATTTAAAAATATATACATATATATATAAATAGAGTATAATTTTAATAAATTAATAATTTAGCTAGAAAAAAAAATTATGTAGAATTCGTGCAACTTGGACAATTCAAGTTTACCTTGAGTTGGGCTTGGTCAAACAACTTTTAATTACAATTCAAACTTAAATAGGTTTTAACAATTTAGATTGAATTTGGACAATCTCACGACCCGATCAAACCCATCCAAATTGCACCGTACTATACACTCATGTCCATGAGCAAATGGATATGGTGTTTTTACTTGGATTTTATTGACTAAAATAATGCGACCCACTACTTTTGTGTCTCTTTTGAATACAACTAAATGAAGACTTCCTTTACATATTTGATGATTATAAAATAGATATGTGAATTTATTATTATTTTAAATTTTAAAAAAAGAAGTCATTACACTTGCTAAAATGATTTTCTTATAACTGTTAGATGATATAATGAAAATTTTCTATTTCATAAATATATAATGCAAGAGAATCACAATCAGGATAATTTTGTAATCAGTTTTATTTTGTCATAATATTATATGCCTATAGGTTAAGAATAATATTATATGTATCAATTAATGTACTAACTAGTATATTAACAAATAATGTAATATAATTTAAAAGGTGTTGAATATTTATAATTTATATAATAAGTGGAGTCAATAATAATGACATAACATTATGTAGCACTACCAATAGACTAAATACTTTGAATGCCTTGAATTTTTAGAAGTAATTACTTTAAATGTCTTGAATTTTGAAAAATATTTATATAAATTAACAAATTTTATATTGAAATCTCAATCAGAATCCATTTTAATAATGTTACAAGTGTCACATTAATAAATATTTTTTTTTATAAAATTTTCATTTATATAACATTTATTTTTTAAAATCTCATTGTCTTTGTTGTTATAAATACATGTTTGACCTATTTATGATATAAAATTGGAAATTTTGTTATAATTCTACTATTAACATGAAAACTTAAATACAAAGACACATTTTTCAATCATTAACGGGGGTCGTGATAAGAGAACAAACCTCGAGACCAAGAAATAAGCAAAACAAAGCATCAATCTATCTATCTTTGTATATAGAATAATATTAAGAATCCTATAAAAAAATATCATAAAAAAATTTTATCTTTTGATTAGTGTGTGATATTTTATTATATGTAAAATTTAAAAGTGAAGAATCTTTCATGATCATCTTCATGATATTTTTTTCATGATCCCTAACATTACTCATCTATCTATATATGTTATATAAGGAAAATGGATTCTCTAACTTACAAGGCTTATGGAAGTTTCACTATCTCAATCTAAATTTCTTAATTTTTTCATTTAAAAAGAAAAAAAAAAAAACTCAGCACTTATTGACTTCTTCCAAACCTTTTTAACTTCTCTCATACCTATTTAATTATTTTGGAACTAATAATTATTTCTTAATTTATGAATTTCAAATGGAAAGATAACAAAAATATTTCATAATCTTTCCATTCTAATTTCTCTCATCGATTTCCAAAAGAAAATATTAAAACTTGCCTTCCTTTTCTCTCTCAAAAAATCAAATAATATTTTTCATTGTGGGTATCTATCTATATCTTATATATTATATTATAACAAAACCAAAAAAAATTAAAAATCAGATATACAAACAAATAAAATTAATAAATATGATTTTTATTTATTCAGTTAAAAAAAAAATTGCCTCTTAATATCCAATTTTAAATTTTAAAAACCTTTAAATTCTATATAAACAAATCTAATTTGAAAATATCTCACATCATCATATTTTAAATCAATAAAACTCACATATCGAACTTACATCATAACTTACCTAATTAATAATAATTAAAAACAAATAGAAATCATAGATAAATTAATTTTTTTAAAAAAAAAAATAGAAACCAACAACTCCATCTTAAATAAATTGAAAAAAAAATATAAACCACACAAAAATAAAGAATATAATAATTTAGATATAGATTTCAAAAAGATATGACAATATCTAAATTTGAATTATGATTTAATAATATAATTATCTATTTGTTTAATGTATATCTATCAAATTTTTGAATTACTTAATGGGGCAAATTAATCAAATTTCAAGTCTTATTTAAAAAATAATCTGATTAATCATTCCAATTCCTAAACTTCGCAGGCGCTAGTGGAGGAGCAGACGGATTAGGCGAGGCGAAGTCTAAGTTGTTGGGGGGGTAATATCCTACCACTCCATAAATTTATTTGTTTTTTAATTTTATTTTTTCCCTGTGTGATTCTCTTTCTCTGTTGTTGGTTTGGTTTTGATTTCGGTTTTAGTGAGATTTATGTGTTTGTTCATAAGTTTATATGGTGGAGAAGAATTATTGGTGATGACAGCTGCAATCAAAGTATCTATGCCCATTCTATGTCAAGAATTTTGATCGGATTTTGTTTTTTTAATGAAAATCGTAAGATTAAAGTAAAAGAAATGGGTATTGAATTTTTTTATTTTTTATTGTCATTTTATTTTATAGAAAATGTGAAATTTTCTTGGAAATTTAAGATTGTACTATAACATTAAATTTTTGTATAACTAGGTAAATTTAAAACTTGTAAATATCATTGTATTTTTTATTTTTATCTTTTTCTATCCTATTATACCATTATTGCTATTTGTTAGTTTGGTAATCATAATTCAATTAATTGAAAATGAAAGCTTAATATAACTTTTCATATATATTAATTAATTTGTTACCGCTATATTTGTATATAATAGCATAATATATAGGAATAATTTCTAAATATAATTTCTATTTTTTTTATGTGATTAAAATAGTCCATCTTCAAATAGTATATGAAAGAGTAAGATGGCTTTTTTTATTCCCACAAAATCCAATCTATTTTTTTTTTTATACTTTTTAATTTTTTAATTGAAACATCAGTTGTTTATGTTTACAAAACAAAATTGATAAACATATATTCAAAAGCTACACATTTTTTTCTTTTTCTTTTATTTTTTTTAATAGGTAAGATATTTACAAATGAAAATTGTTTGACATCTCAAAAAACTTTCCATAATCCAACTTATGATGATGTGGTCATAAGTGTCAATTTTTATACAAATATGATAAGAGAATTAATCAAATTATACATTTCAACCAATCACATACTCAAACTTTCACTATTTCAAGATGTTATTTCACTATA